CCTGTGTAGCCGGCTCAGGACAAAAGTTCCAATCTGATTGTCCCATGCAGCACAATCACTAATCAAATGGGATAGTTCAAAAGGTCTCCAGCATCCTAACAGCAGGGATCCACCAGCAACTCCATCCATCCTAAAAATCTGAGAGGCTGGAGAGTGGCTCCCTCCAGAGTTCAATGGTCAGGAAGGCTCACCAAGCCAAACAGTCAGTCCAGGGGTTTTAGTGCCTCTTTGCCTACCATACAGCACAACCATGCCCCTCCACTGGTAACCCTGGGGTACCATGGCCCTGCTCCCTCCAGCAAACAAAAGAACCATGGTTATACATCTTCCAGTGTCAAAGGTGAGTCAGTGCCTCTTCCTCCACTACACTCTGCCACTAACTGGCAAACCCAAGGGGATGAAACCCATCTCCATCTGGTACTCATTGGAGTCTGGGGAGTGTTCCACTAGAGTTTGTCCCCAGGTGTGAGCACCTCTGTCCATGGGCGGGTACTGTCACTAGGCATATTTCTCTCTCACAGAGTCTGCATCTCTGTCATAGCCTTACTCTTCCTCTAGCACCCACAAGAAATTGCAGCCCAATTCCCTCATGTGGTCTACAGAATGGGGAAGTGTATCTCCAAAATCTGACCCATGGTGACAGCCCCGCCATTGCTGCATCCTGTTGCATCACCATGGTTCTCACTCTCCCAATTGACTCTCTCTCCCCACATCCCCCAACTTCCACTCAAGTCACGGTTACAGAGCAGTTGTGCCACAGGCCATGCAATGTCCAGACCTTTCAAGGCATTGCCAAAGACTCTGGGTTTTTAGACCACCTGGTGAGGGGGGAAGGGTGGACTGGGAGTTCATAATTGTGGGGAGAATATTTGTTCAATTTTATGCTGGGCAAGAGAATGCATAGGCTCACAGGTGGGACATCTCTGGAGAAGGAGTCCTGATGTTTAGTGGCTCTCTCCCATGGGGTAAAATAAGAGGTCTTCAGAACACTACTCACTTGTAGAAAGCACACAGTGTGCCACTCTCTTGGGGGTGGTTTCTCTGGTCCTCTTAGTGATGGGTTTTGTACCTGGAGTTTGTTTCCTTGGAGTCACAGCTTGCCTCAGCAGGGATGCTATGTACTCATAAATCTTTCTTAGCTCAGCTCCCAACCTTTAGCTTCTTTGGGTTCATTCTGTTCATTATCTCTCCCTCTGGATAGGAGCCTCTCTCAAAAGTTGGCTCTAGTCAGACATATTTCCCTCACTCTTGTACATTGTTTTTTAAACATAACAGTATTGCTCTCTCAATAGACTATAAAATAGTAGAAATGTAACCTTATACAGAGTGGGCATAAATTTTGTGTGCAATTGAAAATATTTTAACATAGTAAATTGCACATGAACTTTATGGACACTGTATATTGGAGTGACTTGCTTTATTGCCATATTCACTTTTTTTTTTTTTTTTTTTTGCAGTGATCTGGAACCCAATTCATAATATAGCCAAGGTATGCCAGTACTTTAAAGACTTTTTTGATGAAATTGCTGTGTTACCATTTGGAAAATATGTATGACTAAGTGAATCAATGTTTTTGAGTTCACCAAGATATGACATTAACAAATCAGATACAGTTATGAAAATCCACTCAAAATGCAAAGTAGACAAGTGGAGATTTGTGTGACAGAATATGGACAGTTAATTGATATTGTTTCAGATTTTCTATTACAACAAATTTTTAAGAAGCTGTCATTTTTCAGGTTCTGTTATTATATCAAAAAAGTATATCTACAATTACATGAAAAAGCTATTACTCTCCTTTTCCAAACTCATACCTTGCAAGGCCTAATTTTCTAACTATATTTCTAGCAAAACATTTTATATGCAACTAATTGAATGTAGAAGCAGATGTGAGAATCCAGGTGCCTTCTAGTAAGGCAGATACATGGGTATTAGAAACTTTCAGAAATGTAAATAAGTATAATTTTATTATTTCATTTTGGAAAATGTAGTTATCCTTATGAAATTTATGTTCACATGTAGGAGTTTTTTTTTTTTTAAAATAGTGCATATTTATTTTTTTTTCTATCCCAGTTTCTAATGTGGTAAATGTAAATAGATACAACCCAAATATACAAAAGCTCCTTGTAGTCTTTTATAATTTTATAAATATGATAGAGGATTCCTGAGACCAAAAGATTGAGAAGTGCTTTTCTGGAAATGACTGATCAAGATAGTCCTCCTACTTGTGGTGAAGTCATGACTTATAAAATGATTTATCTCCTTTGTTGTTATCACCTGATTATATGATTTTGAGTAGGAAAAAAGAAATGGTTTATCTGTATTTATTTAACCTTGTAAGTAAAATTAAGTAGAAACTTTGAGCCTGGTGCTTAGGGTTAATGTCATTTGCTTATCTCTCTCTCTCTCTGTGTGTGTGTGTGTGTGTGTGTGTGTGTGTGTGTATTGTAGCAATTAATTTAATCTACTCCTTTAAAAATGGTTAAAGACGTCCTTATTATTATTGTTGTTGTTTGGGATTCATTGAGGGTACAAAGAATTAGGTTACACTAATTGCATTTGTTAGGTAAAGTCCCTCTTATAATTGTGTCCCACCCCAAGAGGTGTGCCATACATCATGGCCCCCCATTCCCCACACTCTTCCCCAATCTCTGCTCCTTCATTCCTCAACCCCCATCCTGTATCAAATAATCTACTGTCTATATGTTAGAATTGAGTACATTGGATTCTTGGTTCTCCATTCTTGTGATGTAAAGATTGCCTCTTAAATCAGCTATACAAACATACTTATAAGTCTGTCTTTTAGACAACAACTGAAAACTTGAAAAAAATAACATTTAAGTACGTATGTATCTGGAGTTGTAGCTTCTATAGCTTAATAAATAGTCATTAAATGACATTTAGAAACCTGTGATAATCTTGACTGTGTGTGTGTTCTTTCTAACAGTTTCTATGATGTACTCCCATGATTGCAAAATTTGATTTTGCACTGTTAATTTCTAAGCTATTAAGTTTATTTTCTAGTGCTTCCATTATAAATGACATTGAGGGTAGATTCTGTATATATTTAAATATGACACCTTTGTTCAAATATATATATTTTAATTAATGAAAAATCATGGACTTATAGGAACTTCCTTTCCAAATTAAAATCCAATAAAAATAACTGCATGGAATAAAACCATTGAAACCTTCTGTGGTAATACACACATTTTCTTATGGTTCTAGTATATTGTTTGGGGAAATCTTCTTAGAATTCAAACTAGATATGATACAAGAAGTGACATATAGTAATAGTTTTAATGTTAGCCCTTCAGTACAGCAATATTTGTAGTGATCTGCAAGATGATGATTTAGTTCAATCCCTGGGCTTTTCCTTTCTCCAAAGAGTTTTATATAGTGAAAACAACCATTTACTATTATGTACACTCTCTTGGTTAGTCTACTTTAAGTGTGGAATAGACTGTTGCTGATTCACTATAAGAAATGTTTAAAAACTGAAAAGCAAGCATTTAGAAACTTTTATAGCAATTTGAAAGAGAAATTTTATGTCTGTAAAATCTAGTAGTTTAAAAATGGATTGTATTTTATATGACTTTTTAATTTCAATTTTCTATACAATTCATTTTGATTATATTTTATAAAAGTATGTTCTATACTGGATTAGAAGAAAGGGAAGAAAGGCTGTTCTTCTACAGAAATTTTGAGGACTTCCCTGAATAAATGTGAAAACTCTATGTCTGAAATGGCCTGTTAGTGTAGGTCTAATCTAAAGATTTACTTTCAGGATGGAAGAAGGGAGAGATCCCACCCAGTGTAAGAATATAGGTGGGTGAGTCCTTGGTCTTTTATTAGGTGAATCTTTTAATTGCTACAAATACCATGTCACAGATTTTAATTAACCCACCCCTCCGGTTTGCTGATAAATAATTATCACATAGAGCATGTGAAATACAGTGTTTTGAGCTATAACATAGAAAACAGGCAGTATGACACAAAAGGTACTTAACAGTTGTTCCATCTGCAATTTTATGTGATTAGCTTAGTTATATAGTTACATTTTTTTTTTTAAGCAAAACTTATTTAAAGCAACACTTGATTGGAACTTATTAGGGCAGGGGTAGCAGGTTCAAGCAGAGAACATGTATTACTTACTAATTTAAAACATGAAACATCCCTTTTCTCTTGAATAATTCTTATGAAACTATAGTAATACTTGTCTTCATAATTGAAGCTTTATAAAAACCTAGCTTTTAATGAATCATGATCTTAGTTTGAAAAAAATGAAATATTAATCTTACTTGATACCTTTAAAGAGTTTAATTTCATTTTTTATTGTGATAATTTGACGTTTGATCCTTTTACCTGGTAGAGAGAGAAACATTGCCCTTGATTTCTGATTAGAAAATAAAACTCTTGATAACTTCTAAAATAGACCAAGAAAGAATAGAAATGAAGTTATCAAATTCATAGTCATAATGGTTATTTGGTTTATATTAAGGTAACAAAAATGGATTTGAGTCTTAAAGGGAGTCTGTAGTTTAATAATAGTCTTTTGTTATGTTATTTATGTTTTACTTTATAAAATTTTTAAAGTCTAGGACCATGTCACTTATATTTAAAATGTTTGTTTATATAGTAGTATATATGTACAGTATGATTTATTAAATGAAGGAAATAAGAAAACATTAAGAATATAAGTCATAGAATACTTTTTCTTTCTATTTTTTTGCACTTTTTGGCCAGGGCTGAATTTGAACTCACCACCTCTGGCATATGGCAATAGGCCGGAGTCCTATTCCTTTGAGCCACAGGTGCCACCCAGTTGTAGCATAATTTTAAGAAGGTATATGTTGATGAAAAATTAAGTGATGATATGATTTATATAGGGAAGTTAAATATTAGAGAAAGTACAAGGATATAGATGTGCCTAGTATGTATGTATACAACAACAGAGGCTTAAACTATAAATTTTATTTTATTTTTTATTTCCCTATCAGGTTTCTCTTGTTAGAAAGAAGACTGGTCCTGATGCTGGGCAGCTCTATGCAATGAAGGTGTTAAAAAAAGCATCCTTGAAAGGTAGAAAATTAGAAAGTTGATTAAAATAGAATTTGGCAAAACTAATTTTAAGTAATATGCCATATATTGCCTATATGAAGTGAGTCAATATAATTTATCATTAGTATTTGTTACAGTTTTCTAGCCAATAAATGATATTTCTAGGTAAGATACTGGCATATGCCTTAATTTACTAAGAATATACCATGTTAAAAGTTTGATGCTAGAGAAAGTGACATATTTTCTTTAATTTAAGGTAAACTCATTAATTTTATTAAGCTATTTTCTTCATTTTAAGATTCTTGTTCTTTTCCTTTTCTGTGCCAATATTGTATATTGAGAAAGCACAATCCACTGCATACACTTATGTACATAGATTTCTAGGCTGTGATAAAAATATCACTACACTCAGAGTTAATTGCTAAACATATTTGAAAAATTAAAGACAAATACATCATAAATTAATATTAACCAAATACCTATTTATGACACTTACAACCACCTCTAAGCATAAACTGAATTTGTTGGCTTTTTGAGATTATATTCATTATTATCTAAGAATATATACATTGTAAATTTAGATATTTATTAAATTATAGTTTATGGTTTTATATTTTCCTTTGGTAAATTGGTCAGGGGATGTTTTCTGAAATTAAAGAGTGATACATATTCTACTGTTATGTGATTTTTAGTTCAAGACAGAGTTCGGACAAAAGTGGAAAGGGATATACTAGTGGAAGTAAATCATCCATTTATTGTCAAATTACACTATGGTATGTAATCTTTCTTTTATTTATGTAATTAGAGAATTGAGATTTCTTTTCAGACAGTGCTATAACAGAAAATACTACAAACTTGTTTAATATATTCAACTATGTAAAACATGTTTATCTGAAATAAGTATCAATATCTAGCTATTAGTTGTATTTCCTTCATTTGTCTAATTTAGTTAACTTAAGTAAGAAGATAGTATCTTCCACTTACATGTTTTACCCTAATTCTATACTAGCTACCCTCAGTGATCTTAGGCTATATATACTATTAGAAAATTTATGTAAAGCATTTAGGTATTTTTTCATAGTGACTATATAAATCTTCCTTGTTCTATTCCAGAGGACCAGGTAGTTGTATTAGTCTATTTCAGTTATTTTATATATTCAGGTGGAAAAAAACACCACTACCAAGCAGTAGATACAATAGAAATAACATGAGATTTGAAGTGAGACATTTCCGCATTTAAATCCTGGCTCCATTGGTGATTGAATATATGGATGAGATTATGGACTATGGCTTCTCTGAGGAATAAAAGCTATTTATCTTTGTATCACTGATACAAGCTACTATGTCACTTTTAATTTTCCATATTTAAAGTGGCTATTGCTTTTATTCTTAGTGTAATTATCACAAATAATGCATTGAAATATGTGGCAAATTATCTCTATTAAGACCCCACAAGAAATTCCTACCCATTATTTTTTCACTCCCTGTTACACAAATGTAATGAAAGTAGTAGTATCTAAAGACTTCTTTGAATCTTCATTATATCAGTCAGTTATCACTTATTGTATACAAAATACTATATTAAACTCAGTGGGCTAAGGAAGTGAAACAATTTCTAACCTCATGAAATTTATTATCTATGTGGAAAACAGACAAGTATATAGTTTTCTTTTTCTTTTCTTTTCTTTTTTTTTTTTTTTTTTTTTTTT